AAATGGGAGGAAATGGGAGGAAATGGGAGGAAATGGGAGGAAATGGGGGGAAATGGGGGGAAATGGGGGGAAAAGTGAAAAGGGGAAGGGGGAAAGAGGGAAAAGGGGAGGCACTGGGCCCTACCATCCTCAGGGTGTCCCTCGGTGCTCAGCCCCTCGCGCCCCACGTCCGGCAGCACTGCTGAGACCTTCTTGAGCCGCGTGTGGGACTTGCGCTGCCTCACCATGAACCCACCGATGCCTGGAGGGGCAGGGAAGGAGAGGGGATCACAGTGAGGCCTGAGGGGTCACAGAAGAGCCCAGAAGGGTTCAGGACCTGTGGGACACTCACCAGGCCGGTATGGTTTGCGCTTCCTCTTCTTGCACTCTTCAGGGTCCTCCAGCCCCTTCCCTGAGTCCCCATCAGCTCCAACATCACGGTCGGGGCTGGCCGGAGCCTCGAGCTTGATCTCACACTCCATGTGCTCCACACCCACTGCAAAGGCGAGCGCACGTTACTGGGGTCCCCTGACACCCCCACACTGCACCCACACCCCCAGCTCTCCCACCAGGAACACCCACCCTCGGCTTTCAGCAGCTCTTCGGTGTCCAGGTCACCGTCCTTCTTGTCCTCAGGGCCCAGGGGGTCACCCCCCTCCAGTCCCCCGTCCCCGTTGAGGGTGCCCGGGCGGCCCTTGCGCTGCCGCCGCTTGTGCAGGGGTGACAGGGTCAGGTTGCGCAGCACGGCCATCCCCGTCTCCGTCAGCCACACGCCCTCGAAGCGGAAATACTGGGGCTCTGAGGGGACAAACACCAGCAGTGGGGACAAACTTGGTGCATGGCCAAAAGAGAGCACAGCCCTGGGAACCCCACGGCCCTGGCACAGCCCCGCACATACCTGGATCCTTGGCTTTGATCATCTCTGCGGATGGCGCGGGCACTGTGGCAGGAAAGCAGAGGGGCAGGTGAGTCTTCACACCTTTCAAATGCCCCCAGATCCCCCAGAACTCCCCCTGCCCCGTGAGCTCACCGGGTTTGACCACATAGGGCTGGCAGGCGCTGCAATCAAAGCCTTCATCCGCAGCCTGCTCCACCTCCTCCTCAGTGAAGAGGCTGTCGCACGCGGCGTGCAACCACCTGCGGGCAGCGGTGGGGAGAACCTATCACACACCACAGCCTCCCCTGGGTGACCCCAAACTGAAGCCCCTCAAGCCCAGGGCACGGTGCTCACCGATCGCAGTGCCGGCACTGGATGAGCAGGTCGTCCTCCACGTACTTCTCGCGGCAGAAGGGGCAGACAACGAGGCTGGCGCAGGGCGCACAGTGGGTGTAGTTGTTCTGCCACTCGCAGTGGAAGCCAGGGGATGCAGCCCCGCACTGCACACAGCACACGCACCTGCAGAGAGGGGGCCCGAGGGGTCAGCGCCAGCAACGAGCTCCCCCCGGGGCTCCCCTCGTGTCCCCCCACGCACCACTTGCACTTCCAGCCGCCCTTGGGCACGGTCTGCAGCGGCGGGTCCAGGCAGTAGGTGTGGTAGCTGATGTCGCAGTCGTCGCAGAGCAGCAGGCGCGAGGGGTCGGAGGCTTTGCCGCACACCTCGCACACGATGCACTCCACGCAGCGCCAGCCCTTCAGCAGCATCACCTTGGTGATCTGGGGATGTGGGAGTCCCGTGAGCCCTGGGCATGGCCACGGGGTCCCCAGGCTTGGTGTGGCTTTGGGGGACACCCCAGGGCTTGGCACAGACACGCTGGTGCACAACAAACATGCCAGGCATGACCCCGTGTGTCCCTGGGGGGCACAGCACAGTCCTGGAGTGGGGCCAGGCGTCCTGGGCCCCCTCCTCACCTTGCTGTTGACACAGTAGGGGTGGTAGCACTGGGAGCACTGGGAGCAGGCGAGGAGGTGCCCCTCGGCCCCACGCCCGAAGCTGCCGCACACCACGCACATGTCCTGGGGGAAGAGGTCGTGAGTGAGGAGACAGGGGCTGGCAGAGGACAGACAGAATCTGTCCCACCCTGTCCATCTGTCCATCCTGCCATGCCCTGGTTACCTGCATGAGCACAAACTTGTCAGTGTTGGAGAAGAGGACAACCGTGTTCTGCATTGTGTCATCATCGTCCTCGTCCTCCTCCTTGCTGGGCGAGCTCTCCACGTCAGCGAGCTGAGGACAGAGCGGGAGGCTCAGCACTGAGGACACCCTCTCTGTGCAGTCTGGGGGGCACCAGGAACACACAGGGGCAGCAGAAACCTTCCCCAGGGGGAAGCTCTGTACCTGCCCTATGCTTTGGTGGTGAAGCCCCCGACACAGCAAAGGCCCAGGCAGTTCCACCTCCCATGAGACCCCAATCCACCCCACACTAAGGGCTCTTAAGTCTTTCCAAGGGAGGGATGATGGGGAAGGGGATGGGGGAGACTCTCAGCCTAACAGCTCAAGGATGCCCCAGACCCCACCTCTGCCCCAGCCCAGCCTTACTGCTAAGGTGTCAACAGATGAGGTGGTCGACTTCAGGCGTGCACGGCCCCGGCCTCGGCCCCCGTGGGACCCACCTCGGGGGCGCCTCCGCCCAGGGAAGCTGCTGCTGCGACCCTGTGGCCAAGGGGAGAGGGGAGTTACAGCACCAGGGGGCCCAGAGGGACCCCCATGCCAGGGCAGCAGAGGGGCACTGCCCCCAGCCCAGCCCAGCACACGCTCAGCCCTCGCCCGCTTGCTGCAGGGGCAGCCCAGGGAGGGGATGTGGCCCCAGCAGGGTGCTCAAAATAATAAGTCCCCCCAAAACTGGGGTGAGGGGGGGTCCCTCTGTACCTGCTTGACACGGGAGCGCCCCGGGGAGCTGCGGCGCCGGCTCTTGTCCCCATCACCCTTGGCTGCTGGCTCGAAGAGCAGCGAGTCATCAGTCTCAGCACCCAGCGGCAGCGAGCCGGTGTCCTCCTTCTGCAGGCTGGCGTCAGCCAAGGCCGGGCCCAGCTCAGGGGACAGCGACCCCCCGCCCTCAGGGTCTGGGGACCCCAGCAGCGGCTCCGAGCCGGGGAAGCTGCTGCTCGTGTCCCCCTGGCTCAGGTTGGAGATCTCGTTGAGGATGTCGGGCCGTGGGCGCAGTGCGGGGGGCTCGGGGCACCCCTCGTCCCCGTGCCCCAGCAGCTTCTCGCCGGTAGTGCACACCTCCATGGGGGTCTCAGGGCCCAGCTCCTCCTGTTCTAGGAGCAGGGGGGACCCCGAAGGAGACCCCTTGACTTCAGGGTCCCCCCCAGCTTGGCCTTCTTCCAGGGCATCCTCCTCGCTGAGTGGCGGGGAGCTTCCACTGGTACCCTCCCTCTCCAGCCTCGGTGCCTCTTCTTCCTCCTCTTCCTCCTCCTCAGGCAGGCCCGGGAAGGGCCCCAGCTCGGGGGCTGGGCTGCCGTGGGGGGCATCTCCAGGGGGGCTGGCTGGGGACTCCCCCTCACCACCGGCCATCTCCATCTCCTCATCCTCGGGTGGCTTGGCGGGGGCCAGGGTGACAGCCGGGGAGCCCAGGGGTGGCGGCGGGGAGCCAGGGGGGTCGGTGTCCATGGCGGTGCCAGGGCTGCCAGGGGGCTCAGGCAAGGCTGGGG